ACCTTCTGATTAGTGGCTGACCTGCTCTGCCACCTGAGCTACAGCCATCCCTAAATAAGAGGGTAAGTATAAACCAGATGTTGCTGATCAAATGCACTTGATGGACTAACCATACAACGGTGAAACTGAAATAAATGGATAAATAAATAAGACAAATAAGAGTTGCATCTCAGATCCTGAATCAGTTAGCGTATTGTTAGAAAACAGGACTCTAATTCCAATTCACTTTACCATTGGAGAAGATATATTTCCATTATATACTTATGTGGTTCTGCCTAAATGAAGGTGAGATGCCCTCATGTGGCTGTACCATTTTGGAGCTATTTGGTGTCCCTTAATAATTCATTAATTAATCTAATGGATTATGACACTAATTCTAGTTCTTCTATCTATCCCAGAACACAAATAACGTTTTTTAAAGTTGGGATTACAAAAACATGGAGTGTGAACTCATTACATTAACATTACTTTTGAATTTCTTCAGCATCAAATAATAAATGTGGCACCTTATTGAAAAAATAGATGCAAAGCTTTGACTTCCAAAAGTACAGTAGATCTTTGGTCAATGACATATCTCTTGTAGTTTTGCCTATGTACACCAACATGGTGGATTTAAAAGTGGATCAAGATGTGACTGGAGTGCAGTTTGTGGGTTTAGCAATAGTATTACATAATATGATTAAGAATTACAGAAATCAGGCGACTGCGTCACCACTGAAGACATTTCTTTATCTTGTGAAACTCTTGGGTTGCTTTGAGTCATCAGTTTTGCAGCATATGGCTGAACATGCACAGCGAGTATAGCCTTGTACACTTCACAGTTCATGCTGTTACTTCTATCAGCGGTCACATTATCAATAAATGCTAGTGACCCAGTTTCACTGGTACCCATACATGCCCATGCAATAACATTGACTCCAACATGTTTGACAGATAATGTGACATGCTTCAGATCATTAGCTGTTTCTCTCCTTCTCCACGATCATTATGGTGCAAATTTGTTTTGGTTTCATCTGTATAATGTTTTTTCCAGAACTGTGCTCTCTTTTGGATGTTTTCTGGCAAAGTCTAATCTGACTTTCCTATTTTTGGGTGTAACCAGTGGTTTGCATCTTGTTCTAAAACCCATTTGTATTTACATTCCTTCTTCTTCACTATGTTAGATGTTTTGTTATCTGTTTTTCTTGACCATGGAAACAATTCTGTCATCATCCACTTAAGCTGTTTCCTGTCATGTTTTAGGCCTTTTGGTGGTGCTGAGCTGCTCACTGAATTTCTTCCTAAAGTTGTTGCTGTTTCTCTGGTTTTTCAGTCTTCATTTGCACATTGTTCCCTTTGGACCTCTTATTGAGTGTTCCAGTGGAAAGCTACCAAAGGTTGGATGCTTAGAATCAACTTATCTGCTTAATTTTTTTGTGAATTATCGGGGGAAAGACATCACATGGCCATGAAACTGCTTGTCAGTCAATTGCTCAGTTGCATTTGAGCCTCTGAAAGTGGCTGTACTTTCTAAACAGTTAATGCAATACATTTGCTAAACCCCTTAAATTAAATCTGAAAGTCTCTACTTGAATCACATGTTAATTGTTTGATTTAAATCCATTGTGCTGGTGTGCAGAGGGTATTACAAAAATTGTAATTTTCCCAAAAAACTGTTTGACATCTTCCTATTCTCTTTGCACATCTCATAATGTTTTCAGTACAAATATAAAAAAAAATGAAAACACTTTGCACACAGTACAGTGGAAATTTATACTTTACGTATTTACAATCTCGCTATAAATTAATCCCTCTCATGGCACATATTTTAATAGTGCAATCATGGTTTATTAGGGTTCTTATTTTTGTATTTCCACATTCTAGACCATAACATCTTGTCACAAACGTTGGAAACTGCTTTCCAAATACTAAACACAACGAAACACAGCGTGCAGCAGATCTCAGGGTTCACTTGAGTCACTTGAGCAATTTGTCTTCAGCGCCATTTGGCGTTTAGCTCTCGGTATGAACACGCCCATGAGCACCACATGGTCTGTGCTCAACAATAACATTGGCTGCAGAGCAATGATTTGAGGGGTCTGAGGAAATTCGTGCAGACCATAAATTCAGCTGTCTGGTCCGTCCTGTTTTCCCTGAACTTTAACTGTGGTTGTCGCTTTGTGTGTGCGTGTGTATGTGTGAGAGAAGAGCGAGCAGGTGACCCTAGTGAAGGTGTAAAACGTGTCTCCCGGTTTTCTATTAAAGCTGTGTAGTGGGTATATAGTCGGCTAGCTTGTAAGCTAAGAGTGGCTAAAATGAACTACCAGATGAACGGTTTCATTAACAACAGCAGCTCGGTTTACGATGAAGACTGCTTCCTCTTCTCTTCTGAGTCAGTTGGAGAAGGACACCCCGGTAAGTTTTAACGTGCCATTCCCTGTCTGTGAGGTAGTTTCCTCCCTCCTCCTCCTTGACCATAATAATTAGCTTAGCATCCTGTTAGCCTGTCAAACAAGGTTGGGTACCGCTGCTAGCTTGGCATGTCTGAGTGGAGTTTATGGAAAAGCTAGAAATAATAATTTCAGTGGCTTGTTTAATTTACTTTTGAACAGTAAAGTCAAGGAATATTAAGTAAAAGGGACACAAAGAAGAGGACACGACGTGATTTAAGTGAATGTAAAGGTTGTTTTAAAAGGGAAAGGGCTAAAAGTTACACTGGCTGGAGCAGTCTAATTTCGGCTAAACTCTAAAGCTGAATAAAACTGATATTTAGAACGTTTTAACTCAAAAAACATGAATGAAAGAATGGCCTGCTCGGCTTCTGTTTTGTGGACTGTTAAACAGTTTATACAAAATGTAAAGTTTCCCACATACCTTACAGACTCTACCTGTAATCATTTATACTCCTTAGAAGTTAAGGGAATAGTTTATTTGAAAGCTCAAAGTCACTGTTGCATGCTAGCTGCATGGCGGCTAACACCACGTTATCCCGGACTGTTGGTGCTTGTCAATCACATCCACCCCACGTCAGCAGTCAGATGTTTTATCCCATTGGGGGTGTTGGCAATACACGCAAATTTGTGGTTATTTAGGACACTTGGCTACCTTTTTAGCACTGCATCATATCATAAGTTCAGACAGATAATAATGCTTAATTTGTCGGAGATGTTTAAGAGTTGATTTGTCCTGCTTTATCGCCACTTTTCAAGTCGCACACTGACACCTCTCCTAAACAGCTCAAACAAAAACCTAACTTAATAAGCTTAATGAGGCTCGGGCCTGTGGCAGGACTGCTTTTGTGTTGGCTAATTCACTGTAAGGGCTTACTAGAGCACTTAAGCCATCTTTAAAAACGCTGTGACAAGACTAGTTAAATCTTTTCAGTGAAAAGACTTACAAGAAGCCAAAACTGAGGTCTTGCATGCTTTAATTGAAGAATTATTGAGCAGCTTGGGACACAGTGTGCTGCAGTTCTCAGTCTCATACTGGGACAGCTCTGTTGCAACAGATAATAGGCTTACCAGTACTCCTAAATATAGGCACTGCAGGGGCTAGTGCTCAACTCTGAGGGCAAAGTAGTCCCGTTTACAGCCTTTGCAGTTAGAAGGGAAGAAAAACTGCTTCAACAACCTGAAAGCTGAATAGTCTGTTTGTAAATCCTGTCACACCGGTTCTAAAATTTGTTTTTTGGAAATGTTGAAGTTGAAGACCAACACACTATGGTTGGTCTTATACTATAGTTAAAGGCCTCCAAATATGTGGATATGGAGTTTAGGCTACGGGTTTCAATTTCTTTGCATTCAAGCAATCAAATGTGGAAACTACATCATGAAAGGGCAAGCACAAATATCTTTGCATCTGTTCCGTATTGAAATGATTTTTGCTTTTGTTACAATTGATTGAAAACTAGTCATTATCCAGTCTTAAGTGGCAAGAAGTGTAAAACCTTTTCTTAATGATCGTAATTATTAATTTGAGACTTGGCTTTTTATAATATGCATAATTTAATGTTTCATTCAATTATGAAGTAAAATATCAGCTGTTATCGTCATTTTACCAACCAAACTAAGGAATCGCATTAAACTGTTGTGCTTATTTTGCTCCACAGATAAAATCTGTGACCAAATCAGCGATGCCGTGTTGGATGCACACCTCAGACAAGATCCTGATGCCAAAGTAGCATGTGGTAAGTCAAAGAGGCAGGGCAACCATAAAGGCTTTTTTTTCCTTTTTTTTTTATTTTTTATTTTTTTTAACTATGGCACATGATCCACTGTTGAACCATATCTATGCAAAATTGGGCATGTTACAAATCTCTGAAACAATACCAGTCTGAAAATGTACTTTCTTAAAATGTTGTTTTTAGGGGCTTGTATTCAAATGATCTATCATGTGCTTTCAGAGTTCTGCCCTAGGGTGGGGTTTAGATGCAGACATGGCAACAGTTGTTAATGAACTGCATTTTCTTCAGGCCATTTTCATTGCTTTCACTGCATATTGTTTTGTTTTTTGTCCTCAGAAACTGTTGCCAAGACTGGGATGATCCTGTTGGCTGGGGAAATCACCTCCAGGGCTAATGTGGACTACCAGAAGGTTGTCAGGGACACAATTAAACATATTGGCTATAACGACTCTTCGAAAGGTAAGATCAGCTAGCTGTGAGTTTAGCTCCGGTTCAAATGTGTGCAGATGTATCCAAAAGGCCAAAGAAAGAAAAGTAATGGTAACTCTCTTCTCTCTTGGAGAAAATTACAGTAAATCTTGAAGTCTGATTACTACCCTTTCATAAAAAGACTTGTGCCACCACTCTGGCTTAATGCCACTGATATCATGGACGTAGGCTGAAAGATTCTTGAACTTTTTAAAAATTATTATCAACTATAGTTGGTCTACAGATCTTGTTTGCACATAGTGACAAATTCAGTAGATGCAAAATTTGTCCTAATACTACTTTATTTTGACGTATAATGATAAGCTGAAACATTTTACTGAGGCTTATTTTGGGGGATTTATAGGCTTTGATTACAAGACTTGCAATGTGCTGGTGGCTTTGGAGCAGCAGTCCCCTGACATTGCCCAGGGCGTTCACCTGGATCGCAAAGAGGAGGATGTCGGAGCCGGTGATCAGGTCAGCTGATTCTTACATTTTGTCTAGAGCCAAGTAACTGAAGCCAGAAATGTAGCAGTAATGTACTTTAATGATTTGGTAAATCATTTAATGATTTGACAAATGACTGCAACTGTGGCAGGGTCTGATGTTTGGGTATGCCACTGATGAGACAGAGGAGTGCATGCCGCTTACCATTGTCCTGGCTCACAAGCTCAATGCCAAGATGGCTGAATTGCGCAGAAATGGAGAGCTGCCCTGGCTCCGCCCCGATTCCAAGACTCAGGTATGTGGTCAAAGTATATTTACAGTTTGGAGCCAGTTCTTTAAGTTATAAGTGTAGGTGGAAGCAAGTTTGTTTATTTCCTTCCTTTGTTCGGCTTTTGTTTTTTCTTCCTCCTCTTCAGTTTGTACACTTATGGTTAGTTGGTAATTGGCTGTAACCCTATTTCTGACTGTACTGAATAATTTAGACAGTGTTTGCAGATTTAAGTGTGGTTTGAATGTTGAGTTCCTGCTTTGACATGCTGTAAAAGGGAAATCTTAATACTGTGTATAAATAATGAATGGTAATATTTTATATTCTGTGTTTAAAGTGCTTGGTGCCCTCTGTTCCTGTTTTGGTGCACTTGCTGTTGACTCTTGTACATTTTTGATGCAGTTTATAAAGTTTCACTCACACAGACGGTGTAAAAGTTGGATGGGTGGATGTAGCTACCATGATGCCACTCATTAGTTCTGGAAGTCCAGCTTTGAAGCCTCAAAATGTGTTTTTTTTTTTTTTTGTTTGTTTGTTTGTTTGTTTTTTTTAAAAACCTGATGTGAGGAGAGAGGGTTTGACTGTGAAACTGCACTCATTGGCTAACAACTTGGTAGACAAGTCATGCCATGGATTATCCTCCTTTCTGATGGGATGTGTTAAGACGGTTTACAAAACTGACTTGTAAAGAGTACATTCTCACTTGAACATGTTGACTCTTAGTCTTTCCTGTGCACCAGTTTATCTTGCATAGTAAGCAGGTGACTGTGTTGAAAAGCTAAATGCAACAGCCTGAGTTCAACTCCAATCAAAGGTTCACTGCTGCATGTCTTTCCCCCTAATCCCTCATTTCCCCACTACTGTTATCTAAAGGAGAAAGACCAGAAAAACAATGTGAAAAAAGAAAGCAGTCCTCCCATAGGCCAGCTGCAGGTATCTCCACCTGGTGGACCTTAAAAACATTGCAGATTTAAAGCTTTTGTGCACAGGTTTCACTTTTCAAACACAGAAGCTACATCATCTTTATACAATTTATATTTATAGTTCAGATAAAATTGGACAATACTGTCTGTCCTACATTTTGGGAGCTCTGCAAGAAATGAAGATTTGTGTTGTGGGTTTTTATGCTGTTTTTGGAAAGATACTGTTAGCTAAAAGACATCCTCACATTAACTATCAATGCTTTAGCCACAGGCAGTGAAAATATTTGTGGTAAATACAGATGCATGTCATTATTATTGCAGATGTTCCTGCAAACTGTTTTGCTTACGTTTGTTCAAGCCTGTGATCATACTAGCTGGAGCCATCACCTGTCTTTGTTTTCTCCCTCAGGTGACTGTTCTGTACAGGCAGGACAGAGGAGCCATGGTACCTCTGCGCGTCCACACAATTGTGATCTCTGTGCAACACGATGAGGCCGTAGGTTTGGATGAGATGCGTTGCTCTCTGAAGGAGCGGGTGGTGAAAGCCGTGGTTCCCAGCGGGTTTCTTGACGATGACACCATCTATCACCTGCAGCCCAGTGGGCGCTTTGTCATTGGAGGACCACAGGTGAAACAAAAGCTGTAAACCTTTTGAAGGCAGCCATGCTGTCACACTAAGGTCATTAAACTTTCTAGTGAGATTTAATGGACTAATACCTCCACCTTTACTTCTGGCAGGGTGATGCTGGACTGACCGGGCGTAAGATTATTGTCGATACTTACGGGGGTTGGGGAGCCCATGGCGGTGGAGCTTTTTCTGGGAAGGACTACACAAAGGTAGACCGCTCTGCAGCCTACGCTGCCCGTTGGGTGGCCAAATCCCTAGTAAAAGCTGGGCTCTGCAAGCGTGTCTTGGTCCAGGTGAGTACACAGTATATCAGTTTTACTCAATCTAAAACCTGCATATAATGGGATTTAAAACTCAGCTGCCTCTAGAACTGAAGGTACTCAAATTCATGGTTTTACATCTCACAAAAAGCAGTGTTTACAGCTCCCCGTAGACAGTCATGCACCAGCTTGTCATCTATTGAATTCTGCTTGTTGGTTTAATCACCTTTTTAATGTTTTCATATTTAATTTGTCTGCAAAAACCTGTTACCATTGTACATAAATCATTGCATCTTGCTCTGGATTTTCATTTGCTGGTATTGGATTCCTGTGCTTTCTAAGAGCATAGAAAATATTTTCTGTGACTGCCTAGACTTGAGTTGTTGATCAGTGTGTACAGTATGTGTTGTAAAATGTACTCTACAGTTAAGTTCTCAATGCTGCTCTATTGGGAAAGCAAATCAAGTGGTGAGCAGTTCTAACTGGTCTCTGCAGCTTGTCCGTAAGCTCACTATTCCTGGGCTTAACTGCAGCAATGATCAGCTCTGTATCATCACACTCACAATTGAATCGGAGAAGATTTTTGACTATAATCAGTGTACTAAAGCACATGTGGAGTGCTTTGGTGTTAAAATGTCTCTCCTGTCATTATTTTTGAATGATGTGTTTATGATTAACAATTGTTTTAGGTATCCTATGCCATTGGTGTTTCCCATCCCCTCTCTGTCTCAATCTTCCACTACGGGACCTCCCAGAAGAGTGAAAGGGAGCTGCTGGACATTGTGAACAAGAACTTTGACCTCCGTCCAGGAGTTATTGTCAGGTATTCTGTGACAGTATCAGGTCTTTGCTACCAAACCTGCACTTTAGTTCTGTTTTATTAGGATTGTTGTCATTTGGTTTTAAACAAGAGGCATAAAAAAGCTAGTCATGTAGTCTAAGCCCTTAGCTGTACAGGCCTAGAAACTGGTCTGAGCATCTGGCAGCCTACGGTTACTACGGAGAAAAATGTGGATTCCTTGACCAGCTGGCAAGTAGTTGGTAGGTGAAATTGGGCACAAAGTAGGTGGTTTTACTTCTCTATATTTCAGCAGTGAAAGTGGCATTCACCCAATCAGACGTTATTCCCTCTCTTGGGGTCTGGGGCCTAAATGTCAGAAAACTCTCAAAATGGAACCTAGTCTGTTAATGAGGTAAAACATTGGCATGTGTATTTGAGTTATATGATATAACATTCCTCTACAATCTTGTGTTTTTAACATCTCTAAACAACAAGTTTCAGCTATTGTATGTTGTTAAAACCGTTCCTTTAACCAAACTGCATTTGTGATGCCGACTACCAAGAGCAGAAATGTTTAGCTGGCGAGTCACTCTATTTAATTCTTGTTTCAGGGATCTTGACCTGAAGAAGCC